GCGGCGCCGGGAACCCGGACACGACGGAACTCGGGCTTAAAGCGACACGGCCGGGCACTTTAGGACCCAACCTTAGGCTCTCTAAAAAAAGAGAAAGAAACAAGTTTTTAAAAGCCTCCACATTAGAGTTAAGGTGCTTTTTTTTTGCTTTTTTTTTTCCGTAGGTTCCTCCTCCTCCTGCGTGACCCGGAGGCGACGGGAGGTGAGCTCAGCCCTGGCTGTGGCCCTGGCTACCCAGCACTTCACCTGACCCGGGGCTGGGCACTGATCCTGGCTGGCCCCATGAGCATCCAGAGCAAGCACCCTCTGCCTCCAGGATGCCATGGGGCAGCAGGGAGAAGAGCTCAGCCCCTCCTCTCCCATGTCCCCGAGGGCCCACCTGGCCCCGGCACAAACCCGTCCTGCTGACACCCACGGGTGCTGGCACAGCCGGGCGAGTTTGCAGCGGTCCCAGGGAGTGCCCGAAGTGCACAGGACCATGCAAAACTCCCCGTGAGCTGCAGGGGTGGCTCCTTGCCACCTTCCTTGTGATTTCGCCACCAAGGTTTCCCCCTCCTGCTCAGTATCCCAGCCTGCCCCAACCCCAGTCATGGTTTTCCTATCATAATTTGGGGAACAATTTTAGACCTTCTCCCAGGAAGGTGGTGGCTCTTTTCCTTCCTGAAAAAGCAGGAGTAGGATGAATTTTGGGACAAGCAGGGGCTAACCCCCCTGCTTTCCAGCTGCAGCTTGGAGCGGGGTGTTTTGCACAGCCCTTTTTGCACCTTGAGCCCCCCACCCCCTCCCAAGAGAAGAGAGAGAAGAAGGAAGGAGTGTTTACGCACCATCGGACTTACCCCGAAATTGGAAGCGGCAAAGCGGTCGGAGGCTGAGACGTTGGTGGAGGCCGTGGTGTGGGCATAGTAGGCGTTGATGTTGGCCAACAGGGTGCTCATCACAGCTGGCACCCCCGGGCACATGTATTTGGAGGAAAGGCAGGCAAAATGTCTGCAGAGGGGAGCAGAGAGTGAGGGTGCAGGGCCATGGGAGGGGCTGCCTGGAGGGAAGGGTGTGGGAGTTGGGGTACAGGCATGAGAAGGGGAGGGAGGGCAGTGGGGCGTGCTAGGGGAGCATGTCCACACCCCTGGCTGGGTACAAACAAGATGCCAACAGTGATCCCCACACTGGCCTGGTGCAGCCCCTTTGAGCAGGACAGAAGGTGAGGGACTTACGTCATGGCCTGGTAGATGGACTCCACCCCATAGCGCATGGCAAACTCATCCACGATCTCCTGTGCTGTCTCATCAAAGTAGACCTTCCACGCGTCGTCCCCCTTGGCGTCAGGGATCTTCACCACCCCGTTGTTTTGCAAATCCGTCACAAAGTGGAACAGGTTCTGGAGGTACAAACGAGTCCTGTCAGGTCCCCGGGGCCAGTGGTGGTATCACCTGGGTTGGGGCCATGCCCCTTGCCTGGGCTGCTCACCTCATGCAGGCAGGTGTACTGCACATGGTAGGGAGCCACCTTCTCCTCACCCTTGATCTCCACACTGATGTGCAGCCGGATGGCTCCTGACACAGCCGACTTGTCTGTCCGCTTGTCTGTGGGGATACAGGGAGAGGGTCAAGACATGAGGCTTCCCCAGAGCAACCCTGCTCACTCTTGGTCCAGAAGACTCCATTGGCCAGGGGACAATGCCACCAAGGCAGTGCAGAGAGGGACTTGGCCAGATCTCCAGGCACTACAGAGATGTGGTCTCTCCATGCCCCAGTTTCGCCTCTGAGGATGCTCAAAGGATTTTGAGAATGACCCTGTCAATGACCCCAATGGCTCTTGAGAGCATGTGTTTGTAGCAGCAGACTGAGATCTGGAGGTTCAAGGTGTTTGGTTGCCCCAGTGTTCACAGCCCACCCGTGCTGCTGGTTGCTCCCAACCACCACTTGTTTCACTGTCTTACAGCTCTGGGGAGAGGCCACAAGTCTTTCACCATATGAGTTACCCCTCTTTGCTTCTCTTCCAGCTTTCTCAGAATACCACAAAACCACCACTAACTCTTGTTTACAAAATACAAATGTGTACAACTAGAGAGTCTGTGTAGTGGGAAAGGTTCTCTTAAATATTTACTGTAACACAGAAACAAGAGGGAATAATTGATATTTGAAGGACAGCAGCATATATAGGGCATGGAGTGAGAGGACAAGGGATGATGGATTAAAACTTGAAGAGGGGAGATTTAGATTAGACATTAGGAGGAAATTCTTTGCTGTGAGGGTGGGGAGAGCCTGGCCCAGGTTGCCCAGGGAAGCTGTGGCTGCCCCATCCCTGGCAGTGTTGAAGGGCAGGTTGGATGGGGCTTGGAGCAACCTTGGGCTGGTGGGAGGTATCCCTGCCCATGCAGGGGTTTGGATCTAGATGATCTTTAAGGTTCCTTCCAACCCAACCCATTCCATGGTTCTGTGATTCTATGATACACTGACAGCCTTCATGACCAGGCTGGCAGCAGGTCCCCCTGGGGGGCAGGGCAGGGGTCCCAGCCCACACAGGCAGTGCCAGGGCAGCCAGTTACCGAGGTTGTACCAGACGTCCATCTCCCCGCTCAGGGTCCGGACCTCGATGATGGTCTGGCCCAGGAAGTCATCAGACTCCCTCTTGAAGCGCTGCTTGACGCGGGACTTGATGTCGTCGTCTTCATCCCAGACACGGACCTTGATGCGGTCGGAGGAGTTATGGCACTCGCTGGGGAGGCAAGAAGGGGCAAGCCCTGGGATGAGCAGGGAAACCTTTCCAGCCTCTCCCCATCCTCTGTTTCCCAAAATAAGAGGGACCATCCCAGAATAAGGCAGGAACTGGGGAGGAGAGGGGATGTGGGGACCCCAACCCTCCCCGTGGGCTCGGCCAGGCTCTGCACTGTGCCCTGGCAGCCTCAACACAGCCTGGATCAGCCCCCACCACCGGGAGCCAAACCCTCCACAACACAAAACCAGCACTCCCAATTACCCCAGCAGCCCCCCTCCACCCTCAACTGGGGCAGGGTGAGGCCCCAGGTGACTCCTCACCACCTCACAGGGATGTGCTGCTACTACTACTGCGACCCAGCACAACCACGAGTGGCCCGGGAGAGGGATGAAGGGACCAGGGGTGAACTTACAAATGGAAATTCTCCTCCCAGACCGGGTTGAGGTTGCCGTAGATTGTTTTAGTCCTTTTTTTGGTCTTTCCAACTTGGACAGTGACATAAGGGTCACTGGAACCCGTCTTATCCTTTGCTTGCAGGCCCTGGGCACAAACGACTGCAGCCCAGCGTGGCACGGCCCCGCAGCACATGCATGGCACATGCAGAGGGAACAGAGAGAGGAGTCAGGGCCACAGCCCAGCCACAGCTCCACAGGCACCTTGGGTGCCTCACAGGAGCCCCTGGGGCTGAGGCCACTTTGCAGGAGGGTGGTTGGAGCAAGCAGCATCCTCATGCAAGGGCACAACCACCCAGTCCCCCATGGCACATCCTTGTGTAAAGGTACAACCATGTGGTCCCCCGTGGCACACATTGCCGGGCACAACCGGTGCCTACCCGTGATGCTGATCTTGGCCGACCATTTGGAGGTGCCATCCAGGACACTCTGCTTCACTGCCTTCATCTGCTGCGTGTGCGTGGTCTTGGTGACCCCAAACACCTCCTGGATCAGCTCAAATATCTCTGGCTTGTTGCGCTCCCGGATCTTCATGCGATCCTTGAGCACCATGATGATATTCTGGGTCCGGTCCTCTGCTCCGTGCTTGGAGCTTTTCTCTGCCGCTCCTGGAGAGGACATGGGTGAGACCAGGGGGGCAGGAGAGCCAAGAAGCCCACCAAGGTTGAATGAATTGAAACCCAGAGGGGTCACCCTGCCCAGGACAGACCTGTGCAGCTCACAGGATCACCAAGACTGGAAAAGACCTTTAAGATCACCTGACACCACCACATATCCAGACCATGGCACTAAGTGCCACATCAGCCTTTCCCTGAACACACCCAGGGATGGTGCCTCCACCGCTTCCCTGGGCAGTCCATCCCAATGTCTGATCACCCTCTCCCCCCTCTAACCACCACTCCCCCCATGCACAAGGCAGGAGATCCATGTCTCCCTGGGCTGCTCCCTCCTTCCCCTTCGGAGTGAGAAGGGATGAAGGCTGCAGGCAGCAGCTCCTTACGCTGCAGGCAGTCGGCGTTGAGCAGGTCCTGGCACTTCTCGTGGCACTTCACGCCACACTCGGCGCAGCGCATGCCCTGCCGGGCGATGCCCCAGAGCAGCCCCTCGCACTCGTAGCAGTAGGTGGGGGTGGTGGCTGTCCACACCTCGAAGTTGTGAGGCGTTGTGCAGGAGATGGGGTACACTAAGGCTTGCAGGGTCTTCTTGTAAACATGGTTTTTCTGTGCAAGGACCAAAAAGAGAGGGGGAGAATAGCTCAGGCAGGGTGCAGAGACCCTGCGCAGCATCACCACTGGGTGTGGACAAGCCAGGCAGAGGACAAACACCACCAGCCCCACATGAGCATCCCAGCATGGCTGGAGGAGTGTGCTGGGGTGGCACAGAACCCACATCTCCATTGCTGGCCTAGCCAGCGGGACTCAGCCCTCCCTCCAGGACCACCCCACACCCCAGCACCTACCAGCTCCTCATTGTTCAAGGTGCTCGAGGCCAATGCGGACGTGATTCCTGCTTTCCTGGACTGGACCAGTGACTGTGGGAAAAAAACACAGTTCCCAGATCTGGCAGAGCAGGATCTGTCCCTCCCACACTCCTCTGGGGTTCCAGTGGCCATAAAATACCTGGGACAGCCCCCCAGCACAGAGAGGGGTGCGTGCTGGCTGCAGGGGCTGGCAGAGGGAACAGCCCAGCTCCCTGGGCTCTGGTGGGGACAGCCCAGCTCCCCAGGATGCCATCAGGGACAGCCCAGCTCCCTGGGATGCCAGGGCTGCAAAGCACTGCCCCGCTGTGCAGTGGGATGGGAAGGAGTTCAGCAGCCTATGGCATTCCCAGTTCAGCCCCAGTGGGGCCTCTTGAGGTAAGACTGGGGTGGGGGGCACTTACCATTGCCTGCAGGCAGCCAGGGCCAGCAAGGGAGGAATAAAAGACTATTAGTGGGAGCCACTTCCCAGCAGAGCAAGTCCTGGCCCCCTCCCTGCCAGAACAAGCGGAGACTGGGGCAACACCAACCCCTCCCCCAGCTGGGCCAGTCCCTGGGGTGTTTCCAGCCAGTGCGGAAGCATCAGCGGCTGCCGGAGCGGGCAGGGGGCACTGGGGGGGGGCAGCAAGGGGGGGCAGCGTGATGGGAGAGGGGCAGGCAGGTTGGGGGCAAAACGGAGACACCCTGGAGAGGTCACAAAGTGGAGAAACAACGTGTAAAGAGAGGTGGGAGGAGGCAAAGGGCACTGAATTCTGGGTGCAAAGGGTGTCTGATTTCTAACATTGCTGCCTCTTTTCACCAGGGGGGTGACAGCAGAGTGACCCTGTGCAGTATAGCCCAGGGGCTGGATGGGACCCCAACATGGGGACGGGGTGGTAGCAGTGCAGGGTGACAGTGGTGGGGACAGGAGCAGGGGGGCTGTGCAGCTCAGCAAAGCCCGTGCTCCCCTCCTCTGGGACACGGTTCCATCTGCCCAGCACCGGCCCGAGCTGGGCGGGCAGGTGGGACAGGAAGAGACTGGGGATGCAGAACTGGTAACAAAAATGGGAAACTGGACGCAGCTCTGGGAAGCCTTGGGCTGATGCTTGGTGTGGGGGACAGGGCCCTGGAGCTCCGTTAAAGAGAAGCACCCTTGGGTGGGGAGAGCCCAGCTGTGCTGTCCTCAACAGCTCCCCACTGCGAGGGCCAGGAGACCCCCAAAACATCTCGGGCCACCCCGGCCCCCCGCAGCAGGGCTGGAGGAGGCTGGGCAGGGCTGGCTGGCAGCACCTAAGGGTGCTCTCTCTTTAACCCCTCGGACCACGCTCACCAGATCGCTGACTAGAGGGAGAGATTTGCGTCCACGCTTAATGTCGGGCATGCTGTTAATGCAGCGCAGAAACCTGACTGCCGCCCCGCTGCCGCCACGGCCGGGCCGGGCCGGAGGAGAGAAACACGCAAGCCATGTTAGAGGCAGGGGGGGGACACAGGGCAGGGGGCCCAGCAGGGCACAGCAGGAGCGAAGCTGGCAGCTGTGGGGTGCAAGGCGTTAGGAGGAACCTCACCAAATCGCTAACTAAGGGGATGGGTTTTCGCTTGCGTATGTCCGGCATGCTGTCTATAATGATCAGCCCGCCACCCGGCCTGCAAGAGAGACGAGAGTCAGCAGGGAGGGGGCACTGGGGTTCCCTGCCGTGGCCCCACCTTCGCTGGGGACTTGGCGGACAGGCCTGGCACCCACCCCAGGGACCCCCAACCCCACCACCGCCCCAGCCACGGATCACCAAACCGAAAACTTATGGGGAGAAGGGGATTCTAGCAGGAAACTCTGGTTTTGCCCACGTGAAGATGTTTTGCTTTCAGTGGCACAACTGGAGAAGCCCCAGCCCTTGTGGCTGAGGCAGCCTTGGCTGTGCAGCGCGAGCGGGAGCGCCGGGGCTTCTTTCCCTCTGGGATGGCAAAGGTGAGCACGGAGCTGCTGCCAGAGGAATGAGGCAGCAGGGCCTGGGAGGGGGAACTGCTGCTTTGCAGCCTCTGGCTGCAAGAAAACCTCGGGGTGATCTGGTGGGTGTTCAGGGAAATCCGCCCAGTTCTGGGCCGACAGCGAGGGTGAGATGGGGCTGGAGGCACAGCCTGGGTGGGTGCCAGTTCAGGGGTTCCCACAGCACCCCTCGAGTCCCAGATGGCAGGAGAGAAGGGGCAGCTGCCACCCCAGCTCCTTCCTGTGCCAGCCCACTCACCTGCTCACTCTCCCCCTTGGCAGTGGCTCTCATGGACATCTCTGCTGGCTCCTCCAAAAGCACCAAGCCACCAGCATCCAGCCCAAAAACCACCCCCACACCTTGGCAATGCTTCCCCATGCCAGGCCCCCCTGATGAGCTTGTTAATCACATCCTAACGAGGAGGGAGAGACAACTGCAAGCTGAAAGTATTCCCACATACTCACCCGCCTTTGAACCACAGGGATTTGGCTTCTCCATCACCTTCCCCACGGGCCTGCAAGACATGGGGGGGCCATCATGGGGGGTCCACCCTCCCCAGGGCTGGGTGCTGTTGGCACCCAAGCACTCAGCATTGGGGAAGCATGTTTAGGGTTTACAGGGTGGGAGAAGAAAGGCATGTTCCTACAACATGGGGGCTCTTCCCAGCAAAGAGTTTGCATGGGGAATAAAGTATATTCAAGAGGTTGAGCTGGGTGGGCTTCAGGAGAGGGGTTCAGGGTGGCAAAGCCAGGGGAGGGGGCTGCAAAAACTCAGGGTTTAGAGGCCTGGAAAAGCAGTGCTGGAAGGCTCAGCAGGTCCCCAGGGACCCACAGCCCCTTGGAGAGAAGCGTGGGGGACAAGGCAGAGCAGAGCAGGGTGTGTGCAGGGACCCCCCACTGTGCCACCTCCCTTTGTGGGGGGTGGACTATCTGTGGGGAGAAGGGAGGAAAGAGATAATTCTGCCTCCTTGGGGGGGGCAATCCCTGCACACACAGACACACACACAGGCTGGGAAGGCACACACGTTGCTGGGGTGTTCCCTTGGACACGCTTACCTGCAGGCAGGTTACAGCCCTTCCCTGCGGGAAGGGGGGGCGCGGGCGCAAGGGCCATGGTGGTGGACAACTGAAAAGAGAAGCAGTGGGGACGGGGATCCAAGCCCCAGGGGGGCAAATCCAGAGCCAAAACAAAAATAAAAGATGGAGGATGGAGTCTAAAAACAGAACAAAAAATTGTCAACTCAATACAAGGGGAGAGGGTGGAGGGGCTCACACCAGCACATCACATGCAGCACACACCGGGGGAAGGTCGTCAGTGCTCCCTGCCCCTTGGGGGGGGTCCCACTTGGCATGAATGGGGTTGTGAGACCATCACTGTTAGGGGCCCCCAGGTCCCCACTGTCCTCAGGGTGTGGGATGTCCATGGGATCTAGAAGGTTCCTGGGCCCAGGAGGGGCTGTGGCCCCAGCCCAGTGCGTGGGGCCGGTGGCGGGGGGGGCTGCTCACCTCCTGCAGCTGCATGCAGACCTTGTTGAAGGCTCTCAGCCAGTTGGCTTTGGCTCGTGCTTTAGGGTCCTGCACCTCCACCTCCGCCTGCTCCCTGCAAGCACACACAGCTCAGTCACCTCCCAGCACAGCACCAGGGTGAGGGGAATGCAGCCCCTGGGCAGGACTAGAAGAGGTTGCCCAGAGAAGCTGTGGCTGCCCCATCCCTGGCAGTGTTGAAGGGCAGGTTGGATGGGGCTTGGAGCAGCCTGGGCTGCTGGGAGGTGTCCCTGCCCATGCAGGGGCTTGGGACTGGATGATCTTTAAGGTCCCTTCCAACCCAAACCAGTCCGTGATCCTGTGGCTGAAGCTGCAGTTCAGGGATCCTGATGGGCCTTGAGCCAGTGTGGCCTTGGCAAAAAACCCCTCTTGCTACCAGCAAGGACCTTATAAAAGGCAGCAAGTCCCACAGGCAAAGGGCAGCACAGACAAGGCAGAGCAATGGGGAGAAGCCAAGAGTTCCCCCCATTGGGAAACTCTGCCCTTGGCACCCAAGTGACATGAAGGGATCCCTCCAGAAGCAAGGGCCTGCTAGTGACAAAAGCAGGGGCATTAAGCATCCTTCACCCCTCATCATCCCAGCAGGATGTCCTCTGGCTGCTCCCTGCCATGCTACAACCTCCTGGGGTCAAGAGCTCCCAACACCCAGCACCTGCCAGCCTGGACATGCTGGTTGTTGCAGGCTTTTGTTTTTCTCCTCTCTTGCAAAAAAAACAACCAAACAAAAAAACCACAAAAAAAAAACAAAACCCAAATCCTCCAAACATCCCAGCCTCCTGGAGAGCCTGGTGTGGTGTGACACTGGAGATGGGTTCTCAGAACCAGCCTGGGACAAAACTGTGGGGAGCTCAGGAGACAAACCTGCTCAAACCAGCCCTCTGAGGCCTTGCCTGTGCTAGTATGTGGTCCCCAGTGCTAACCTGGGGTCCTCAGTGCTAATTTGGGGTCCTCAGACTAACCCATGGTTCCCAGTGACTAGTGCAGGACCCTTGAGTCCCCTGCCTGGAGAACAGACACTGCAGGCAGATGTGAACTACAGGAACCTCCCCCAGGGCTCTAGCCAGCCCTTGGGCCTAAATACATATTCTAAAAGAAAACAAATAAACAAAAAAAAAACCATCTTATTGCACATTCTTTTAAATTACAGATTCCTCAGCTCTGGTTTATAATTTAAACTAAATAAAAGACCAAACAAGCCCATCACACTTGCCCTCTACACAGAGCAGAGGTACTCACCAAACCATGGGGAAGCAGACACGTCCAGTAATTAAGGGCAGAAACCAATATATGAATTATTCACGTGCTGTAGTGGGGACCTGGCCACCAAATAATTCATCTGTACAGCACAGGAAGCCACGGAGGAGCTTTTGCCAGTGGCCATGGGAGAGGATTCACTCCTATGAAGGGAATTCCCTCCACTGACCATGCTGAGCTCCAGGTATCCCCTCTATCCAGGAAGCCAATAGCTTGAAGCAGAGGAACCACAGCCCCAAGCTCCCACCTCCCTCACACCCAGGATATAAACCTGTCCCACCCTCCAGGAGCCATGGAAGGATGTCAAAGGCCTTGAGCTCTGCCCCTGCTTAGTGTGGCCCTGGTGGCTGTGCCAGGACAGTGTGACCAGGGTGGGCTTCCCCCACCCCCATGCCTCAGGCAACTGGAACCAAGCTGACTGGTGTGGTCAACATGCCAGAGGGATGGGATGTTAACCACAGGGACCTGGACATGCTGGAGGAGTGGGTCCAGGTGAACCTCAAGAGGTTGAACAAGGCCAAGTGCAAGGTCCTGCACCTGGGTGGGCAATCCTCACTATCCATACAGGCTGGGGGATGATGTGGTAGAGAGAAGCCCTGCAGAGAGGGATCTGGTGGGCAAAAAGCTGGACATGAGCAAACAATGTGCACTTGCAGCCCAGAGAGCCAATCACGTCCTGGGCTGCATCCAAAGAAGTGCGACCAGCAGGTCAAGGGAGGTGATTCTGCCCTTCTACTCTGCTCTCCTAAGACCCCACCTGGAGCACTGTGTCCAGTTCTGAAGCCCCCAGCACAAGAGGGATGTGGACCTGCTGGAACAAGTCCAGAGAAGGGCCACACAAATGATCCAAGGGCTGGAGCAGCTCTGCTCTGGAGCCAGGCTGAGAGAGCTGGGGTGTTCAGCCTGGAGAAGAGAAGGCTCCAGGGAGACCTTAGAGCAGCTTCCAGTGCCTGAAGGAGCTCCAGGAAAGCTGGGGAGGGGCTGTTTACACGGGCTTGTAGCAACAGGACCAGGGGAAATGTCCTTAAACTAGAGCAAGGTAGATTTAGATCGGATACCAGGGAGAAGTTCTTTACAATGAGGGTGCTGAAGCACTGGAACAGGTTTCCCAGAGAAGTGGTGGAGGCCCCATCCCTGGAAACATCCAAGGTCAGGCTTGAGGAGGCTCTGAGCAACCTGATGTAGTCAAAAAATTCCCTGTGCTCTGCAGGGGGGACTGTATAGATGACATTTAAAGGTTCCTTCCAACCCCACTCATTCTGTGACTCTGAAAACCTCCAGACATCACAGCAGGTCCCTGGCACTGACCCTTGGCACCAGCAGCACCAGATCCAGCCACCTCCTGAACATCCTGGGTGTCCCCAGGCACAGGGCCACCCCAAGGACAACATCCCTCCTACCTCTCAGCTGCTTCTGGGGGCTTGGGCTCAAGGGCCACCTCTGCCTGGGGGGCTTCATCTGCTCCCTGCTGGGCCGGGATGGCCTCTGGGGTTTCCTGGGGGATAGAGGTGTCCTTCTCCTCCTTCCTCTCCTCCTGCTTCTCCTCTTTCCTCTCCTCCTTCTTCTCCTGCTGCTGCAGTTTCAGTGGTGGGACCAGCTGGGGTTGCTGTGGTGGGACCTGCTGCTGCTGCTGCTGCCCAGGGGGTTTCTGCAGCGGGGGGAAGGCATCATGCTCGGGGGCTTCATATGTGCCCTGCTCCTGCAGGTCCTCCTCCTGCTCCTCCTCCTTGGGGTAGCCTTCCTCGTTCTCACTGTAGTCCTCATTGAACTCTTCCTCCTCCTCTTCCTCCTCCTCCAGATAAAGGTCATCGTCCTCCTCCTCCCAGCGGGGCGAGTCCTTGCGGTAGCTGACGGAGCTGTGGCAGGAGTGGTAGGAGTCCCCGTCCCGCTCGTCCAGCTCCGAGTCCCTCAGGCTTTCGTTCTCGAAGTCCTCGCTCAGCTGGGAGCTGCCCTGGCTCAGCTCGGCCGACGAGGCGTAGCGGCTGCTCCCTGTGGGGCTGTGGGGACAAGGGAGACAAGGACAAGGCTCCCGTGGGACCACGGCCAGACCAGCCCTGGGGTCCCTGCACCACCGGCAGGCAGGGCCCTTGGTCAGCACCAGCCTCCTCGGCCTGGGACTCACGGAATAGAATCGTTTTGGTTGGAAAAGTCCTTCAAGATCATCAGGTCCAACCACTAACCCAGCCCTGCCAAGGCCACCACTAACCCACGTCCCTCAGCACCACATCGACAGGGCTTTGAAATGGGAACTCCACCACTGCCCTGGGCAGCCTGTGCCAGGGCTGGCAAATGGGGCACAAGGCAAAGGCTGGGACAGCCCCCCAGGCTGGGGCACTCTCAGGGCTCTGATCTCTGCCTGCACTGGGCTGATGTGGGGACGTGGGGACAATGTCTGACCTCTCAGCTCACCCCTGCCAGGGGTGGGGGGACCAGAGTGCAGCCAGGCAGAACCCTCCGGCTGATCCTGCTCCCCACTTCTGCCAGACACCCCATCCTGCCCCAGACCTGCACATCTGCCACCCAACCTCTACCTTGACATCCTAGAGCTCCCCATAGACCTCCTGGGCACCACTGTCCAAGGACAACTCCATCACCCCCCTTAAGCACATCAACCCGACCCAGGGGTGCCCTCTCCTCTCTTCCTGCCAGGACACCTTCCCACCACCCTACCTGCCCCCCTGGCCCTTCCTGTGTGCCCCTCTTGCAGCAGCACAGAGGGGTTCCTGAATGCCAGGAGGGGATGGGGACAGGGATGAGGTGGCCACAGGGCTCTGTGGGGACAGGCTGACATAAGCAGACATGCAGACAGGACAGGGACATGCCTAGGAAGAGGCCGACACCATGTCTCCAGCACCCGCAGCCAGGACTCAGGGATGGGCAAGGGGGAAGGGAACAAGGGGACTGGATAGGCCCAGGTTGGTGGGGAGGCAGGGGACACCACAGGGTGGAGGGTGCTGGGGATGTCCAGGCTGGTCCCAGCAGGGAGGGGCACTGGCATCATCCAGGTGCCTCAGGAAGGTGACTTGGGGTACAGGGGTGCAGGAGTCATGGCTCATGCCTGGAAACACCTCACCTCCCCAGCCTGATCCTGGGCTGAGCCAGGAGAGGGCCCTTGGCACATTGCAAGGGTCCCAAATCACTGTGCCAGGCTCTTGCCCAGCCAGGTGCTCCCCAGAAGGTGACCAGAAATGGGGGGTGGCATGTGAGTCCCCGAGGCCCCAGCTCCCACACCTCCTGGGGTACAGGCAGCAGAGCTGCCAGCCTGGCAGTGCCAGCGAGCAGGACCAGGGTGCCAGGGCATGGTCCCCATGGACTGGGCAGGCAGCAGCCAGAGGGGACACGGAGGGGCCAAGGGACACCTGGAGCATCCCAAGGCTGCTCCTCGGCGTGGCAGGGAGAGGGACTCGGCGGCAGCCCCAGGCTGGGGACTGGTGTTGGCCTCACCACGGCTCGCAAGGACCGACCACAGCACTCTGCGACGGCACACGGCACGCGACGGGGGAGGACCCACCTATCCGATAGGTCTAGGGACCGCCTGCTCCCGGGGGAGGCCGGGCGGCTGGTCCGCCTGCTCGACTCCGAAGAGCA